CGTTCGTCGCAGCTGGTGAATCAGTCAACGAAATTCATTAAATTATTCACGCGGCGATTGCTCAATTTGGTGTCAAACGACCCGTACTGGCAAATTTTCTCTCGCTACACACGTTGCCAATATTATATTCATTTTCTCTGTTTAATTCGTGCAACCGATAATTAATTTTTTTTTATCGAAAGGAAAACGTCTGATAATAGAACGTTTCACGAGCGGAAAAACAGTTATCTTTCGCAAAACGGACGCTGGCGCCGTGTCCGGGCGATCGATAGATCAAAATCAGCCGAGTAACCGTCCAAAGGCCCGACTTCCTGTAATCGAAGGACGATCTCCGGCTCTCGCGTCTGTAGACGCTGTTACGAAACCGATTGCGCCGCGTAAAAACGCGCGTGTGTCGCGTACACGCAGTTACATGAAGAAACTCGGCTTGTTACGCGTTGCACTTCCGTTTTACAAGCCGTGTAACATTACTCTCGACCGAGAGAGAACCAAAATGAAAGACGCAGGAAGGAAAAGCAGGAGAAGTAAGAAGAAGGAAGCGATATATTTCAGGGAAAAGATTTCTCGATGTAACCGTCACTTCCTGAAAGTTATTCTTCACCATTGGCAAATATTTCTCTCCTTTTCCATTTTTATATTTTTTTTTTCTAGTTTAATGTCGCATTATGCAGAGAATTAATAGCGACACTGTGAGAAGATGTGCTATATGAGAAGTATCGGTAGCATAATTAGCATAACAGGTATTAATTTATCGAATAATTTGCTTTTCCCGACAAACATGAGCAAATAGTGCATTTTGTTGCTTGTCGAAATATGTATGAGAGAGAGCGTATTAATTTCTATTTTCCACGGAGTATACTTATAGAAATGTTGTTTCTCCTTTTCCTCTATTTTTGAGCATCGCTCGAGTAGTCGATTGGGAGAACACCAGTTTTTCACAGACTACGACGGCCGAATCGTACAGAACGAGGAAATTGGTCTTTGTTATTCATGCAAGATGAATCTTAGTGGGACAGGTATTTTGAACTTTAAACGATCTCATCGAAATAACCATCTTGCCGTTACGTAGGATGCATTTAATGGGACATTGATTCTTACTCTGTGTTTACAAGCACTTAAAAACGATCGCGACAGCTATAATTACTGATCAACGGATAAAAAATTGTAATCTGTATAAGCGAACGGAAAACAGTAACCGCACAATTTGAAAATCGCGGATAATTTATACGTAAACACGTGTAATGGAGAATGTGTTATAAAACGTGCCTCGAAATCGCAATTACATTTTCGATTATTGAAATTCAAGGATTACAGACGATACGATCTCTACTGCACTTTGTACGATTGACCAATTCGTCCAAGTTACATAAGCCTGTGGTATACTCGATGTACAGTTTATGAATCTGATTGAGTAGAAATCGATTAAAATTCATGGAAATGGATAGCCCGGCCTTGGGGCCGGTGCATCGATTAATTTTCGCGTTTCAAAAGCAACCTGCGTCGGATCAATCCTTTGTTTTGAGGAATCGAGTCACACTCGTGGCACAAATTTCTTAACAGTAATTTTGCTCTTAAAATACGCATTTAATATGCTTTTAAATAACTAACCTTCTCCTCTGTGAAACGAACATAATAATTTATACTAAATAATAATCTCATACTTAGTAGATCAAATCAGAGATATTCGATATAGAAATTAAGGAGTAATAAAATTAAGAATATTAGCTTCTCTTGCAAATAAAGAGGTTAATCTGACAAATAATTGAAACATCGATGGTTCTGATCACCTTTACGTTGAAAAAACGGTCAGTCGTACGTATGAAAGTATTAAGCAATCGGTCGTAGCGTTCACGAGAAAAATCGCGGCATTTTCCGATAATAATGGAAACAATTGCCACGAACTGTTTCGACCGCACTCGGTCAGGTGTTGGCGCACTCGATACCCCATTGTGGGCCTGTCAAGGTCTCTATCAGGCAACGAGCAAATAACAGCGGTCGCCTATCGTGCAAAACCGATAACCTCTTTAGTCAAATGACACGCGTTTCCCACACCGGTGTCAAAGATCACCTTAAAACGCAGAACCACGGTAGTACACTCGTGACTCGATTCTACCGTGCAAAAGAGACTGGAAATTATTCGACACGGTTTGCGTGTGGAACCGCACGAATCCGCGATAACTCGCAAGATAATGGAGCTACCGAGAGTCCGATGTTAAATTGGAGAAAAACGGAGAAGCGTGACTTGATCGAGATTTAAAAGAAAAATGAAGGATTCGAAGGATCTCTATGGTAACATAGCTGCGAAGATCCGCTTGACGCGGGAAGACTTCCAAGTTTAGCAAAATTTTGCAAAGTTCCTCTTTTCTTCCAAGTCATACCGTAATTTGTTGTTTGCGCTTTATTTGCGCATAAATTTTCTCAGAGGAGTATGACGTGCATGTGCTCGGTGGGAGTAGGACAAGATGTTAAATACGCGGAATCGAGCAACCAGCATCCCGCGTTGTGAAATATCATCGGCTGGTGCAGGAAAGTGGCGATTTCGCTGACACCGGAAATTGTGAGACCGATATAAATTGCAACGAGGGCATACCGAAATATTTTTGCTCGTCCGGTCGATTCCCACGAGAGGCGTGGCCCGTTCTCGAAGGAACCGGAAGCGGGCTGCACCGTGGCCTGCATCCAAATGACTTTTCAAAAAGTCGTTATATCATGCCGCTCGATGTCGACTACGAACACTTTTCACTTTCGTGAAATCGACCCTCTGCTTTCTTATGCTTCTCCGACGTTCACTTCGACGAAATGTCTCGTGTCTTTGTTTGTTTAATACGCAGAATGACGTGTTTATCCATCAAGATGCAACAGCAACAGCAACGAAGAATTTCTCTACTTTACTAAATTGATTTAACGAAATCAATTTAGAAAGCAGGAATGTTTTTAAAGTACCTAATAGGTTTCGCGATAAAAAGATCGAGCGAACGACCGGAACTATAAAGAAAATGAAATAATAGAAATACTAATAACAGCCAAAATTTACAAGCTGGTTAAATTACCTTTATCAAGATTTCAATTTACATTTAAATTAAAATCCACTGTATCTCGTTTTCCGTGTTAATTATACTTTCTTAACTCCATTGGTCTGCGGTGCAGGCACCTGAAACTCGAAGCTGGTAACGTGTAAACAAATTTTCAAAAGTCTATGGCCACTGGTTATCGCGCTTCGTCCACGAGAATCCTCGATACTCGGATACCCTGTTACGCAAGATTCGCGAATGTTGCTCGTCAAAATGTCTCATATCGACGATTCTTCGTAGAAACTTCACCGTCATAAAAGAACATATTCCCATGGGGTATTGAGTTCTCCTTACGTAATGCGCTGTCGTATCGGAATAACCAGGATTACGCGCGACTCCAAGTATCGTTTGTCTCGAAATCGATGATCGGCAAAAGGAAACAGGAAAACAGGAGGAAAGAACGCAACGCGACGCAATCACGATTGCGTAGAGATGTATATAAGATGTAAAAGAAGCTCGAATAACAAAGAAACTCTCTTCAAATCGCGTAACGAGGCTGATTGACTGATTTTTCTTACGGTGCCATTTACAACGAAATATTTAAGCTGCAACTTTTCGCTGGTTTATGACCAACGTCGCGAGAAAGGAACGAATGATTTCATCGATCGATACCTCGTAACGAATTTCTTCGTTACGCTACTTCCAGGTCATTGTATTTAAATGACCGTCTCACTGACACACCGTGTCTCGTAGGATTGTCTTTTTCGATTCATAATGATCGTTCTCGATCGGATATCGTGTCGACGACCTCTCAGCGACGTTCACTCGCGATCGATTCAATGCGAAGGATAGTTTCTTCCGCGATTATATATCGTTCACAAATTTCAATGAAAGCGGTCAGAATTGAAATTTTATCTAGATTGAAGAGAAAATTCCCTAGGAAGAAAACTATTTACCAGAAATGATACGAGCAGCGAAAGAAGATCGTCGTTGTTTGAAAATCACTGTAGTGCTTAAAAATATAACCAAAGAAAATTTGTATAAATAAAGGTTCCTTAGTCTTGAAGCAGAATAATTATGGAACCTGATTGGAATGGAACTGTTACGAATCTGGAATTCAAGTCTCTGACAGAATACTTAACACGCGAAGTGTTCAAACGTTTAATACGTTGAAAATGACATAAAGCTCCTACGATGACGAAGACGATGATTATACCAATGACCAGAAACCACCGTGTTGAGGTAGGAGTAGCTACTTAGCTGAGATCAACCATGCATTATCGTCGAAGGGAACGGCACTATTTCTTGAAACTATTACGGTCACGTCACGATCGATTTCGTTAAAATCACGAGCTCAATCAACGTGCAAATTAGCGCTGGAAAGGACAACTGGTTATAAGCGTCTATGATGGATTACGCGTCAAGCACGTAAAGGGAAAGAATTTCTGAACGCCATAAAACGCATCTTACGTAGCTACTGACATTCGATTTTGTCGACTCGCGAAGGTTTCTCTCCACTGCCCTGCAAGCTCTTACGGAGCAGAATTAATTTCACCTCGTAACTCATGCATGTGCCTGAATGTTGTGACACACCCGCCGTAAATTACGAGCGTCGTTCGAACACGCTCGAACGTGTTTCAAGCACGCCAAGTTGCCAAAGATAGGCTAATTAGTGGCGCGGAACGTTGGAAGAAAAGGCTCGTTACGCGTCTTTATTTTTCTCTCGTTCCAATTCTCCCCGTGAATTTTCCTCGCCGAAGGGTTTTTCATTGTTGCGCCGTTCCGCGCGTTGTCGCAATCGTTTCGTCGAGAAAGCGCCGCCGGTGATCTCGTTAAAGCCTAACAACGCACGAATTACGAGCTTCGCTCGCGGTAATTTCAATGGCCGATGCTTTCTGCCTGCGCGTTGCGTTGCGATCCTTCGTCCACGATTTTCCCGCGTTCCGCTCCATGGAAAACTGCAACCTTTGTCTCGTTCTGTTGTTGCAGGAAAATTATGGAGAGAGGCTCGTCGGTACCGTGGCAAGAGACGCTTCGAGAAGCTATAGGGGACGACAAATTGGACGCGTCTGCGCTCAGAGAGTACTTCAGGCCTCTCGAAGACTGGCTGAGAACGGAAAACCTGAGAACCGGGGACATCGTCGGCTGGTCTTACGGTAAGAAACTCACCTGTCGTTGCTCTGCGCTATATCCACGGTATAGATTGTTCGTAAGCGATACATTTGTTCTATCGTTAATTGATTATTTTAAGAGACAAATCGAACAACTTGGCTTTACACGAACCAACCTGATACCTAACACTTATCTTTGAAATCCCAATTTTGACTCACGGCCATTCACGTGACACGGCCAATCCACTTACCACGATTCGAATTCCGTGAGATGCCATCATTTTTCCTCGGCTACTACACCAACCAACCCTTTCACCAATTTATTTCGATCCACCATTCGCGCATCATAACCGTCATACTTCGCAGCGTCGAATCGTATAAACTAATTGCAGAACCCATTGGATGATCGAACGATTGGATTTCAATGCAGGAAATAGTTACGCGTTACGTAATAAAATCAGAAATAGAAATAGATTAGACAGAGCCGATATTTGGTAAACGAAACGAGGCTAAATCAATTTAGACGTTAATTAGCGAACCAAGCGATAAAAATAATTAAGCAGAAGCAATATCGAATTACGCGCTTTGATTTTATTACATCTCGAATCTAGATATTATCGATTAAATTCGTAGGCAATTATAGTTCAGGTAATCAGAGCTTCACTGTATTTGCTCCGTACGTGAATTTTATTCTTGCATCCTGGCCCAACGTGAACAGGTCAGAAACAAGGATCCGATTCACGCGACGAGACACGATCGACACAGCGTACGCTAGCGCGCCTTTCATCGTAACTTGTTACAAATTATGCAATTTCCTACCGTAACAGATTGAAGGTTGCAGTTCCCACGTGCCAGTTACCGTCGGGGAGCGCTACAAATATTCATCGTGTGACGACATTCGACTGAATTACGATACAGCGCGCGGCGAAATTATTAGGATTGCCACGTTACATCTTCCCGAGCTGGAGCTCTTGCCAAATTCACAAACGACGTTACGTAGCGCATGTGTAATCGCTCCTATGCTCCAGCATAGAGAAATAACAGAAAAAGGAAAGGAAAAGCTAGCTGAGATACTTTCGATAATGGATGGTAATTAATTATCTGGATGATTATCTAACGAGGATCGTAACACGCTGACCGACGGTCGTTCTTCTGGCTGATCATAGCGACCATTAAACCGTGAAAGCATCTGAAACGCTATTTATTCCTCTGTCGTTTCCTTATTTTAATTGCTTCAACGTCCATAATATCGATGTACTATACAAAAATGTTTTACTTTCATACGGAACTGTATTAGATCTTTGATGGGCCGTCGTAAAGACGTCGTCCGTGAAATTTACATACAGGAAACGTCACAATTGTTTTCACGTTAAACGTAGAGCAGGGTCCGATCAGACCACGGATCGCCAAGTTCTCTCTCTCCGTGGGACTGGTGGATTGCGAAATCGGAGTAGAACGAGGAAAGAACGCGAGCATGGACCGTAAGAAAATAGCTTATGCCATTGGAGGAGAAAGAGACGTTGAATCGCGAGAGACGTTCGACGATTCTACTCTCGTTTCCATTGCACGTTGCACATCGTAACCCGTCGATTTGCCTCGCGAACACGCGTGTAACACGGTTTCTTGGGCTATTAAGATCGAAGCTGTGAAATGGCGCGTAAAAATTGAGAAAACGTATGATCGAAAAATGTAAATATTGTAACTTTCATATCGTCTTACCAAAGTAATAAGATCGTTACAACGATTACGACATAATCGTAAATGGCCACCACTATTACAACAACATTAACGAAGACGAAAAGGAAAGAACATAAGTAATTTGAAAATTCGACGAACTATCAATCAGTCGAATACATATTTCGCAGCCCGTTCACTCTTTCGACATATTCAGGAGATTTATATCTTGCAACCCAAAAATTAGTCCAACTGCCTCAGCCACCAACTGACGTCGCAATTAACAAATCGATACACAAGCCATTCAGGAATCATGTTGATCAATTCCATACATCGTACGATAGAAAAAGATTATGACGTTTGATCAATTGTTCCGTGCTAAATAATACAAGCCGAATAAAAAGAAGGAAGATTGTGGCAGGTTCGGCGACACATAGAAGGAAAAATGAGCCGCTTCTGAGAAGCGATCGCGATGGAAAGCGCAGATGTACGTGACTCGTGCGTTACGAGGAGAAAGAACGCCGGTTGTATAATTTCTCTGTCGATCGCCATACCGCCGTTACCGTTCCTCTTTCCTTCTTTTACTCTCTGCCTCACGATTTCCTTTAAAAACGGGCGCCTTTAATCACCCTTTCGATACCGTACGCTGCTTTTACGACGTCTCGATGGAGAAAGCATTTCGCGTCGTGCTTTTTCGTCGCCCCCCTTCTTTTTCTCGATGATCGTAGTCGCGGTAATTGACTATTTAGATGCAAGTAATGGAATATTAAATTTAGGATTTTTGCAAAAACAAACGAGTTATCGCGATATAAAGCTAGGCTAGCTAATTGGCTAAGTGGTTAAGCTGGTATACAAGTTACGCGTCGATACGCGTAAAGAGAGATCGTGGCGTGATGATCGCGTAATTTCAAGTACCGATGACTTGCAGCTTGAAAAAGGTGTTTTATGGCGACCGAGACACGTCACCGGTCGAAAGGGAAAACGATTCCTGTTCTAGTTGCTCGATCGACAAGATGGCCTTTTTGCTACTATTTATCTTGATTCTAGAATTTTAGAACGGTACGTTTACAGAGCCCTGCAGTCGTAAACGATCTGTCGATCTTTTTGAGACACATTCTCCTTACGCTTTACGAGCTTCACGATTCGTAAAGAACCAAATGATATATTTTTTTCTATCATCTACATCTACTATATATACACAGTCGTTAGATTTTGAAAGGTTCGTGATATGATCAACTGTTGCGATTATTTCTTGTTGCCCAGAACAAAGAAACAATTGGTCGTGCGGATAATTTTGATCGAATCAGATGATTTCGGAATTAAATTAGTACATTGGGGTTAGTGCAAAGTTATATTATTGCTCGAAAGACAATTTTCATTCGACAATTCAAATTATCGATCAAATTGTAGAAGATTCTTATAGTATCGCGATAAAGTGCATTGCCTATATCGAAAATTAAAAAATCGAACGAAGGTCGTTTTCGTTACGAGTTCTCAATTCAAGCAACTTCCATTGCTTCTACCTATCTCTTCCGATCCTTTTATTACCTTATTTCCCGATCCCTGCTATTTACACCAAATCACATCGACCAGTAATTCCTCCCACGAAACAGATAACTATCACCGTAAAGTCATTCATCGACCGTAATAACAGTAACCGTATCGTAAATCGTATTGAAATAGTAATACCACTGTACATTTCACGATAGCCTAACCATGGATTACTACAATTGCAGACGGAGATTACTGCAAGCGCAGCATCGAGACTGCTGGTCTGCAGGTCTACGGAAGCGGATTCTACAACGAAGCCACAAGAACGCGTGTGACGACAATTTTACCAGCGATTCTCTTAACAATTTCGATACTTCGTTAATAAAGAAGAAATTTAGTGGAACAGCGAGCCAGATGTTCAAGCATTCTTTAGGATATTTTTTAGCAGAGACGATCAATGTTTCTCGATCTGTCAAGCAATCGAAAACCAAACAAATGACCAAAATGTTTCTAGATAATTGTTTTCGTATGATAGTATAAAGTATATGCTCGATCGTGAACGAGCGTTTTTTTACATAAAATAAGACGCGTCGAATTGGAAACGTCGCGTGTACCCAGTAATTATTGTTATTGTTGTAAGTATTCACTACTAATTTAATAGCGATCCGCAACGTGGCAATGGTACGCGCGTGCAATTAAGCTCGCGTGCGAGCAGCACTCGTGTGAGCGCATAAATCGTTTCAGCATGTCGAGGGCCACTCTCGTGTCGCGTACCTTGAAACGTCTCGGTCCCGACGTTTAATAAAGACAAAGAGATTTACGTCCTCCATCGTTAAACGGTGCCAGCGCGCTTTCCAGACAGACACGAGTCGTGCTTTTCTTCTCTAGAACTTCAGCTTAGTCGTAGACCCACCACGATAGTGGCCACGATCAATTCGTAAAATATCGTTTGAAATTTTATAAACTCGCAACGATACATTCTTGGCAATTTCTTACAATCTCTTAGAAAGTACGAACTTGCTTTTTCCTCTGTATTGGATATCTTTTTTCATATTCGCTGGAAACTTTAACAAAACGTCGATCAATGAAATTATCGTTTAGTAGAAAATTTAGAAACGAACGCTTGGACTTTACTCAAAGATCATTTTGGTATAGATAATCAAAATTCTACCATACTTTTCATTTTGGCTTTTTCGATGCATATTTTACGCCCCAGTTATCGGTAATTCTAATATTAACTCGACTATACCTAGTTGTAAATATATGTACCTACGTATATAAATCGTTCACAGCTCTGTAGATCGTGGAATATCGTGAGAAACAGAATTAACGAAAAAATAAGCTCGTTTCGTAATTGCCTTCGCGACACGGTTCGTAAGCCACGTCTCAGACAATTCCACAATCGTGTATCGTAATTGGAAGATATTTCGATCGCAAATGGGAACGAGCTCGGCCCGTAACGATCGTACGAATTATATCGTTCGCTCGGTATCTTTGCAATTTTCATGAGGAGAAAATCAATATTCCGTAGTATTATTGGTATATGCATTTTGTACCATTAAACGTCAACCGTACCGTTAGAGCGAATTATTTTTACCATAATATATTCTCGTAGGAGAAACTGAAACGTGTAAACACGGAAATCGAAATGAACAAAGATTGAAATAAATTTTTAGCGCTAAGTATTTCCAGGTCTATAGCGATAATTAAGCTGCAGACTTTACACCTTTATGGGTGATTTAAACATGCAAAAATCTTTAATAGATAATTTGAACACGTATAAACGATTATTGATATGCATTAATAAATAGAAATTAATTAATTAATTAATTAATAGCAGTCTAGTAACGATGATAGTAATAACGTGATAATGGCAATGCCGCATTTGAAATTCAAGATTTCAAACCACAAAGAAGATACTTTTTTTTATTGTTCACCAGTCCACAAAGGGAGCCTGCTGTCCGCAACCCATTATTCCCAACTTTCGTGGCTCTCACAGGAGTAGAAACGAGCCTCGACCATCGAATAAAAACCGTTTGACGGCGAAGAACCGAAATTGGTTTCTCGGGTTACGTAATTAAAGGATCGCATATCCATTCGCTGTATCGCGGATAATCGCGTTATTACGAAACCCATAAAAATTGTAATTCCATGTGGCACGTCTTTGTTTAACGAATCCCTTTGTTTCAGTCTCCGAGTAGATCTCAAAATCGCTATTGTACACACTTGTATATTCTCTTAATCTGCCTTGATAATCTTTTCATTTCTCTCATCTATGATTTCAACTCTTAGATTAAATATTGCAACATAAATCGTGTATAATTTTAATCAAGAACGTCGGCCTCTAACAGGTAATCCAATGATTTGTGAAATTTAACAAAGATACCGGTCTCTTCCTGGATCTTTGCTTGATACGTGCAGGACCGACAGCTTTCACGAGAACCGCAATAGGAGACGTTATTGTTCTTACAGGGACAGCTGTTCAGACATAATTACACAAAGGTGGTTTGTCCAGAAACTGGTTCACCCACTTGCGTAACGCGAAGATGCGGAAACCGAGTTCGAAAGAGCCGACGCTCGATTGCGGCATCAAACGTGCCCCGATGCTTTTATTCCACTCGTCTTGAACGTGTCTAGATCTTATCATCTACACCTTTCGATGCGTCTCGAATGTTACTACGATCGACACCGTCTTAACGTTCAAGTACAATTATACCTACGGTAGGTGATAACGTTTCGATTAATCTGTCCTGTGACGGTGGCTAACCATTGTTATTACACCTAACGAGAAAGCGAAATCGAAATGGAAACGATATTTCCTCACACATTTCTATAAATTATTTCTATAAATTATTTACGATCGGGCGATTCGCAGAAATTCGTTAGATTTCTCCCCTAACTTGCTTATACGCAATAGAGAAAATCACATAAAATAATCATCCTACAAGAAGAATAGTAAATCAAAAGTTTACGATTCGTAACAAGTTAGCGTTCCTTTTGAACTGCAGATATTTATGCAAATTCGTATTTATACGAACATAATAGACAGAATAGGTAGAACACTGTATAATCCATATAAACTTTCTAACAACGTGACACTAATCCTGTGGAATTTTTATATTGAATCATTGATTAGCGGCGATCGACCGACCAACCATCGTATCTTCGTATCATTATAAATCGCCAGTGTAAATTTGCTCGGATCGACGATGATCAGAAGCGAATTTATCCAGACCGTTCAAAGCCTGGAGCGTTTCTCAGCGCCGGTAGACTTGGAGATAAAAAAGGAAAAGAAAAATTGGGACAGAGAATGAGATACGAGAGGAGAAGTCACGCCCCGGTCGTCAATCTCGATTCAAGCACGGATTTCGTGGCCTCGGGCCATGACACACAGGGTTAAGAGGTCGTTTTTCTCCGATCGAGCCGCAGGACAGCCAGTGATCCGAGAACCGATCCGATCGGCCGCCCCTTTCGCTTTCGACTTCATCCGTTGCTTGTGTGTCTGCTGGCCAAAAACTTGTCCGTCCGGTTGCGTAATCTGAAGACCGGGAAGTCTTATCTTTCCGCGAAATGTCTGCACAATGACTCGGCGAATGCCTCTCGTCCACTTTCACCGTCGCGTCGTCCACGCACGCACGACCTCCAATACACACGCCTTTGAAATTCGTTCGAGAAAACACCGTGAAAATTCCACGACCTCGATTCGTTGACAGGTACATACGTTTGTGGTATGGTTTTTTTTTATGATGTAAGGAGGATTACGGCGGAAGGTCGTAGTCGAAAAAGCTCGAAGAATGGATAATCCAGATGAAGACATTTTTTTCAAGGTCACTGATTTTCAGGTTTCAAGGACACGATTCACTTAGTAGCTTGTTACTTATGTAATGGCATCTCTTACATAAGATTTTCGTATATGCGATTCAATGCATTTTCTCAGAGATTAATTAACTTTATTGTTCTAGTTTTATGAATAGACTAGAAAATTAAAATGTATATGTTAATAATTTAATAAGTCTAAAATTAAAATTTAATAATTTAATAATTCTTGAAATGGGACCATTACAGTTTCTTGTGAAATAATTTATACGTTAAAAGATTCTTTCTAGGTGGTTTTCTCCAAATAATAAATTTGTTTCCAACAAGTTCCACATCAAAACTTGCATACCTATGTGATTGTTCATAATGACGAAGAAACAAATTTTTGATATTTTTAAAATCGAACATGTTATACGTTATTTATAGCAAATGTATTCTTTGATATAATCGATGATTAGCCGTGAAACGAAATTTAGTACTAATACTATCTAGAATAATTTGGCAGAGAACTTTGTATAATGTTTATCATGAGATCGCAGAACGAATGGCGCCAGAGAAAATGAGACGGGTGGTCAACGATACTCGAGACTAATATCTGGTTAGATCGTAATGAGCGTAATTACTATTAACGGAGAACAATGCCTCTCTTGCGCAATTCAGAAGGTGAAACGGAGCACAATGTCACTAGCTTGTGCAACTATCTTAAACCTGCAATCCACTGCTCTTTATTCGATTAATTTCCGTCAATCTTCTGAATGAAGCACTCGGTGTGTTTAGAAGAAGAAATCATTGCTATTCAATTTGCTTCAGACTAATGAATTCCATTCGAAAGTAGCAAAGAACCAGGTATCCATCAGATTGGATCTCATGAATGAGAGCACCATGAACTTACGTAAGATGGTAAATTGAAGATCGTTTTTCTACGACTACAGAAAATTTCAAAAAAGAGAAACAAACGTATTGCACAATTAAAACTATAGGCTATAACGTGCAACTTTCATCGGTGTTTTTTTTTTTTAGGCGCACGTTACTTATTATTGAACAAAACATTTGATAATACCAATTTTCTAAGAAACATTGAAAAATAAAATATATAATAAGTGATTGTATCTTTTTAACGCTTAAACAGATATCTCAAGTGTTTAAATAAATGGCACTTTATTAAATTAATGACAGTTAATGGTACAATCTTATTGGATGACTTAATATCTTCGCTTTTTCATTCACTGTCCAATTGGCACATATAATTACGATTCCATTTTACAATAAAATATATAATATTTTTCATCATATAGCACACCACAAAGAATCTATATTCCATTCTTTCTCACTAAAAAAATCATGTTTTATTTTTTACTCAGACTTTTTCAATAATATTTTCTACTTTTAGCAAATTTCCTTGTGTCAATTGATCGTAGCTTGTTGCGGATTAAAAAAACGAGGACATGTACTATACGGAAGGGGAAAAAGGAAAGAAAGCAAGGGAAATTATATATTCGGAAAACACGCGTTGATTTATGAACCGGAAACGCGGAATTCCGCGGTCGGAAGAAGAGGGCGCATGAAAGTTCCGCTTCCCCGGCGTAGAAAAATTCGTCTTTGCTATCTCACGTTTAACGTCGTAAACCTTGATAGAAATTTCCTTGAGCTAGTTCGTCTAATCTATGATAAAAAAAACTAATCACGATGACTGTTTTTCGACGAAAAACAAGAAGATCTTGGGAAAAAGGAATCTCGTTTTACAGTAGAGTTTCGCAAGCTTGGAATTCCGTGCCAGTTCTTCTATCTATTTTTCCACGAATTTTTCTAACTATTGTACAGAGAACCGCTAAAGTGTTTAAACACTCAATATAAAAGTCTTTTATATATTAGATGTATTATAAGAAACATTTATAAACATTTCACAGCTTCGTCAACATTATAATAAGACACGATTATATATCATGATTATATTGGACAAATTTGAAACAACACACACATACGTATACGTATACGTATACAGTATCAAAATTATGTTATATTATATTATATATAAATATGTATATGTCGGAGATGAAAGGAAACCGGAGCCTTCCCTTTGAAATTTTGGAAAAATCCTCTAATACTTTAGCCTAGATTCTATCATAGCCGTAATTAAGCAATTGTTGTCATTCCATCTGATTGTAATTGTTCGAGATTTGTAATAGTGAGATTGGGCTCGAGGTGACACAACTGGTCACCGAACGTAGTCACGGTCACGGGATGAACGTTTTGCCTGACTGAGGTGTGGATTGGTTGTATGGTTCTCCCTAGAAATGTGGTTGTGGCGGCATACGGCCTCAAGAACGGGCCTAGCCACCTGTGATTTTACCTCGGAGGTGCCAATATAATGGGACACACGTTGTATTAATAATCAAACTCCAGGCAGAAACTGCCTAGCAACGGCGATTGGAACTTTCTCGATGCTTCTAACGAGTATTTAACAAACGAATGCAATTTTAAAGCAAGGAAAATTTTCATCAGTTTGTTATTCGTGCGATCGCCTTGGGAAGTTACACATCGAGCAGTTTATACCGAGCGTCCCAGCAATAGTATTTTGTGCTTAAAAAGTACTTTACTCTTAGTAAAAAGTTATCCCGTTAACCGTGGATTCGTTATCTAACTCAAAAACATTGTCAATTGCATCTTGCGTGTCTAAACACCACGGTTGTTCGTTAAACTTTGTAAAAGTTATTTTTTTGTACCTGTAAATATAATCTCTGTTGTACAAAACGATGGCTAATTGAAACGAAGGATTGTTACTCGCCCTAAAATCTAACGATAACCCGACATATATATGTTGTTTGAAATTTGTTACATTTCTCTATCGTGTTTGCTGGCGCGAAAAAAAGGCGAAGAATCAGTGAGAAATTGTTTCTTAGATAAATAAATCGGCTGACTAACGGACAGGTGCGAAATATACATATATATATATATATATATATATATATATATATATATATATATATATATATATATATATATATATATATATATATATATATATATATATATATATATATTATATACATATAGCAAGCGTTCAAATACCTTTGTAAGTCGTTGCAAATCGGAATTAACAAACTTGTACTAACAAGATACTAAACAGTTTTGTAAAAAACAATTTCGTGAGAATTAGCCATTCACAAGATCGGTACGGCATGTATTCGTCAATTTTATCGATCAAAGTCCGTATTAAAGCGGAACCAAACTTGCTTGCTAACGCAACTTCTTATCGCGATACCTTAGACCATAATCCTGCGTCTACAGAGCAAAAAGTTAATAAAAATTCCCGTGAGATTCCAACAAAATTCTTCAGAGTTAGACACGACGATATAACAGAAAAAAAATGTGTCGAATTTATGCAATCCATTCACTTTCTATCCACTATGTACAAATCGTACGTCCCCGTGACAGAACGGGGATGTTAATTGAACGTTTCCCGGACTGATGTTCATGGGGACAGTAAACAACGGCGACGTATATTAACGCAATCGTTATGCAATGTCCCTGGTACTTCCACGTTCCGTTGATTCGTGGCTGATAATCGTACGATCCGACAGCAAGAATTACAAGGATCTTACGTCATTTTGAGAAAAAAAAAGAACGAGAGTTCACCTACAGTGGCTCACGAAAGTATTCCAAGTTCTACCGTACTTATGATATTTCGTTCGTACAACGGAAGTTTGAATAGCTAGTATCACTTGATTCGTTCCGAGAAATGGAATTCTACTTTTCTTAACATACGTTCAAAAGTATCATGATATTTTTATTCGTATCTTATATATTAAAAATATATAGTTCTTTAAGAGCTATTATAATTAGCAACCCGAACGTAACTAATGTTACAGAACTAGGATTACAATTTCCGACACAACTTGCTCGATTTTACCACTATATCTAACGAATCCTTTCTCCAGAAAGCTTCTCGAGTTTCCTTATACGAGAATTTTTCTATATCGAAAGAAAAATACAGGAGATCAGATAGAAACGATACGCGGAAACTTTCACGCGTGTTTGTCCTCCTGTCGCGGAAAATTTATGAAAGAACGCGGGTCTCCCCGATCAGATGGTATGGAGCCGGTTTCAACGATGCGTTGGTTGCGTGTAGCTATTTAGGGCAGTTTCTGTCACCGTGGAAGCACAAACATCGACGAGTCTGGCATACTAATAAGCCTGATCGCGCGTATTCGTCATCTCCATCATTTTTGCGTTCCTCTTTCCAGAAGACCAGTCACCATTTGCAACGTTATACGCTACTGGTCATAAGTATCACGAAATCTATTATTCTCGTGAATTCTCACTCTCATACAGATATTTCCAGACACTTTTTTACCCCGGTTCAGGCATTTCCTTTTGTAAAACGTGTACAAGCATCGACTGTGGTATCGATTAACGCTTAGCAGGCATAACCAAGCTCTCTACCGGTCGAGAACAATAGACCGTGTACTCGTATAAGTGACCGTTGCTTACAGAAGTTAATAACGTCGGACAACATTACCATGCATTTCCCTATCCTGTTTGCTGTCGTGGAAAAGGCGAACAAATCGGTGGGAAATTGTTTCGTGGGTAAATAAATCGGCTGGCTGGCCGACAGGTGAAACTTTAAAACGATAAGGATCAAAAGATAATATCCATATCGTGACACTAAGGAAGTTTAGAAAATGTAAGATCTTATGCACGGTATTGAATTTTCCAAAGAGACCAAATTCGATCTTGCAAAGAATTTATTGGTTATTGAAAATCGAAGGCGATAATTGAAAATTTTCACGAGCCATTGCAACTTTTGCTCGATCGATAAATCTGACGAGAGATCGACGTGGGTCAATTTAAAAAGTTGCCGACTCTACAGTTGACTAGAACATCGAAGCGATCGACTTTATCTCCATAAAACGAGTCTATCGAAAGAAACTAGCCAGAAAGCTGAAACAAGGACACGATGAGCAAAGTAGATTGTTTGTCACCGTTGAATCTTGCGGAGGACAGCGAAATCACGAGGTTCGTATGGTACTCGCCTCTTGTCCCAGTTACTTTGGATGCCGACAAATCGTGGCAATTAGGCTATCTTCGAAACGAGGCTCTTGTTCATCGACTGTATCAATAACCAGTTGATAGAATTTCAGATCAATATTCGAAGAAGCACCAATCAGGGAAAATATTTTGAAATATTGGTCCTGACTCAAAAATATCACGATACATACGGAGACTAAGACGAATCTTAGAAATAATCAGAGAATTATCTAATTATCTAAAAATCTGACGCGAAGTTTAGAACTTTCCATCTGAAATTCAGACCGATGAATCGTCCCCCTTCTAATAAATCTGTTCTCTTATAAATAGTTTCAACACAATTGCGTCAATAGAAAATTATAATCAGTTAACAATCTTTTTGATAATTTAAATTAATTATCGCATGGAATATGAAATCAGAAGATGTTCCGATATTTATAAATAGCGATGTGAAATTATATCGGTTTATCATTTTATCCCATTGAATCTTAATGATGTATAGCGTAAATTAGTTAAACTCGTAACATTTAATTTTTTCGTGAAACATTTAATATTTCTTGACTCAGATTATTTTGTAATCGAGACGCAAGCATGAAATGTCATAAATGTCGACCGTGTAAAAGGCAATAGCGAATCTACGTATGTAATTATAATTATTAGCGATATCATTATGCTCATAGCGAGTTAATTTAAACTGGAAATACCAGAATTTCTGTGTTGAATTTCTCTGCAATCCGAGTTACCTGTCTCGTGCGCGATTCCATGCGAAACCATGACGCGTTTAATCGCTGTGGCTTGACCAGTCGTGCCGCGACACTGGTACCGTGCGATCGTTAAAAGCATTTACATTAATTATCCTATTACGTCGCCGCTAGTAACAGGATATTTCATGAGAACTATC